ATGCCCATTTGCACTTGAAAATTCCTTACCCCAAAAATGGGCTCTATTATTGAGCTCTTTCTTAAAGCCTTTTCACTGACGGCCCACCTTTCATGTATGTCTTCTTTTTTTCTCCTTACCCTATTCCTTTTCACTTACCATAGGTCCCAGCTTGCCATTGTTTCTTTACAATTTACGTTCTATAGCTTTGGCAAAATTCGATTCTCAGGTAAGCTAATTCTCTGTTTCTAGAGAGCGAAACTTTTTTTATTCAAGTAGAAGCATGGAGGAAGGCCTTATCTCCTCGTATCCCATTATAAACACTGCTTAATTTAGCTTTAAGTTCAGCATTTCCAAATTACAGAGCTTCTAAACTTCAATATGGCCGGCAGAGGTTATGTCTAAAGTATTTTTTCAGATTTTAAGCCTCCTTAAGGATAAAATTTCTTTATGCTACTGTTTGCAGGCCAATATTTTAGCTAATTTTGATGATTTCTGCTTCATTTCGATTTTAAAAAGTAGTGAAGCGGGCAATTGTGGAGTTATCATTGAGGTAGATGTCTCAAGTTAATGGCAAGGAGAAAACTTGAATTTTCGCTGTTTATTTTTTAAATGTTGGATAGTTCCTTGCAGGCTTTAAAAAGCTGGTTGTATCGTTAGTGGTTAAATTCTGCTTCTGCTTTCATCAGTGGTGTGCTACTTGGCGGCAAGTCACTGTTAATCTCTTCTTAAGCCTTCAATTGTCCCCTTCATATAAATGGAAAAACAAACAGTTTACGTACCTCCCTCGTCAACCTGGTGCAGACATTAATGAAATTTAATTGGCACTAGCCCAACAGTGTTTTATGGCACAACACACTCCCTCAGGAACATTTTCACCTTGCTTACTGCTATTGTGATGGTCTTCCTCTTCCGTTTCACCCTTCGGCAACAAGGACGAAGCAAAATCCCATTTTAACATTTATGGGTCTAGATTTTTAGATTTTTTCAGGCATTAAAAAAAAGTAGGTTCACAAGTTTTCATAATTTCTAAGCATTTAGGAAGTTTTTTTATGTTTTACGCGAAATAATTTAAGAAGGGTTAAGGAAAAGGCCGAACCATGTTATTTTTCTGCGGTCAGCCTGCATTGGTATGGTTGGAGAAGCTTATTGTAAAGGCCTTAACCTCAGGCAAACATGAGACTGCCTTGGTGCATTGCCCGATTGAAATGACTGGTACATGTTATTGTAGAAATTTCCTACCACACCAAGCTATGTTTTTTAGTGCATGCCCCATGGAAGTTTATTTGTTTTATTTAAGGGATTCCCACTCCCATAAAAACATTTGGCCATTTCTGAGTGTCGTATAAAACGTGCGAAATATATGCTGTTAGTGTCATTTCTGCTTATTTTCATTCTGCCAGCCCAAACTTTTCCAAGGCACACCTTGTCTTTCGCCTCTTGATAAAGATCGTTGGGCAGAATATTTTCATAGCTAAGAAATTCATAAAAAAAAAATACTTCCAAAAGAAAACCCCATTTTTTTCTCTCTTCTTCATTGGTGGACAGTATCTTCCCTTTCTATTTGCTTTGCTTTCTAATAGCAGTGGGCTGGATTAATTCTTTTGTTGTTAAGAAGTGTGGATAGTTTTTTTTGGTTTTTTGTTTTTTTTTCATGCGTTCTTTTGCCTCAAAGAGTTTGAAACATTTATTTCAAAGCCGAAAAAAAAAGATGGAACAGATTGTCCATTCCGTTTGGCCCTTCCCTTTCCCCTCCCCCTCCTTTTCTTTCCTTATCCCCCTCAAGAACTGGCAACCCTTGCGGCTGGGGCGGTAGGGGGTAAGGCCCAGACAGGCCCCCTATCAAGATTGAAGTTTCAGCACCATTTGAGACTTCTCCCAGTGGAGCGCTGTCAGTAGAAAGGGTCTCAGTTGGTCTCGCCAGGAGCTCATTCTTGTTTCTTCTTTTCCTCGACCATTATTTAATAGTCCACCACCCTTGTGGACCAAAAAACCATCCACTCATTTACCGTATTCTTTGAGTATAGTTTTTTCCCTGCTGGCTAGGAAAAAGGTCATAACTTGCATTGAACTGAAAAAATAAAAACCTGGCCTGCCCAACATTCAAATTGGCCCTCTGGCCGTTATTGTCCGAAGGAATGAACCAAATAACTCAGCATATGAATAAGAGCGCAGGAAAATTTCTATCCGTGAAGCGACTTGTGCGTAATACATGTGGCAGCCCAAAGGGAAGGCAGAGGAGAAGTAAGCCAAATTCCCCTTGTTCCTCCCAAAGGAACGTTAGGGGCATGGGCCCCATTTTTAGTTCCCAAAAAAGTTTGCTGGCTTTTCCTTAAAAAGCGGCATAGGGCTGGCCTCTTTAAAGGTGTGGATAGTTTTAATGTTTTTCTTCTGCTTCTTTCTTTATATTTCTGTCCTGCCACCACTCCAAACAAAACACAGGCTTCGCGCGCGCGATAGCTGTCGTAATTAGCGAGGCTCAGTATGGCCGGTCAAAACCATTTCTGGGACACGCGAGGGTATGTGATGATTTAATCCTGGCTCTGCCACTGCCTCTTTATGTGACTTCTCTAGAAGCACTTTGGCTGTGAGCCTCAATTTCTTTCAGTCTGTAAAAAGGGAGCTGTAAGAACTAGGCTATACAAGTGCTTCTGTATACAAAAAGCCTTGATGTCACCGATAGCTCATTACTTTGGTGTCTCGTAGCCTCCTGGAGACAACTGTTAATTCAAGCGACACTAATACTGAATTCATTCTGGACTTGAGCCCGCTTATCTTTTGTTCTCCTATCTGTATTTTAATTCATTAATATTGTTTTTTGTGCCCAGTTCGTGCTGCCCAGTGATCGGCGTAAGTCAGACGGCTTTCTGTTGATACATGAACTCCAGTGGTTGGACATCTCCAGATTTCCACATGCGTCTTGCAGATTGCTTCATTTTAATCAGGAGAGATGGGATAGAAAATAATATCCTTGTTGGTCCTCTTTAATCCGTATCTATAATAGTCATTTTGGCTCGTCGACCAACCACATTTCCGTCCACCGAGGGCGGTATTTGTGTTCCTCTTAAGGGCCAGGTTTGTTCTCATCCTCCAGCCACGGCTTTGACATTATGGGCCTGCGATTTAAAAATTTTTTCTTTGATTGGGGTTCCTTGCATTGAGGACTATGTCAGTAGTGGTTTGTTTTTTTTTTTTTTTTTTTTGCCTTCCTGGCCTCTACCCCGTGTACGATACCAGTAGCACCCTAATTGTGACAACGCTGAAATGGTCTTCGTAGCATGTTCCTTAGGGCGGATCCGCGAAGGGAGGCGTTAGAAAGTCAGCGCCGATTGGGCTGCGCGTGGTGCTCACGCCTTGTAATTCTAAGGCTCTTGGGTGGCCGGAGGCAGGCGGATTGCTCAAGGTCAGCGAGTTTGAAACCAGCCTGAGCCAAGAGCGAGACCCTCGTCTCTACTATAAATAGAAAGAAATTAATTGCGCCAACAACTTAATATTATAGAAAAAAATTAGCCGGCATGGTAGGCGATGCCTGTAGTCCCAGTACGTGGAGGCTGGAGGCAGAAGGATGCGCTCGGCCTCGAGCCCAGGAGTTTGAGGTTGCTGTGAGCTAGGCTGACGCCACGGCACTCACTCTAGCCTGGGCAACAAAGCGAGACTCTGTCTCAAAAAAAAAATAAATAAGTAAATCACCCTGATTAAGAGCCACTGGTCAAAGGCAAGTGCTAGATCATCTGTTGCATCTATACCTGCTTAGCACAGGACTCCAAATATAACATGCTCTCAAACGCGAGCTTAGAAAGGACTCACTCCCTATCTAGTTTCTAGCAGTTAAGGAATAGTCTTTATTTACCAGATAGCAGAAACAAAATAGGAGATATATAGAGCTATGAGCTCAAAGTAGAAAACTAGGCATCACTTCCTAAAAATCAGCCACTGGTAATTATGTCCTTTTTTATTTCTTTGCTGAAGTTACCCTTTGCCCTGCTATTAAAACCAGCACACCTCATTCCTACCAGCTTTCATTGTATGTCTCTGGCTCTAGCTTCCATTTTCTTGTGTAACAGTAGAGTTGAGTGAGTAAGCATTTGTTTTTCCTGGAAAATTCAGACAGGGGATAAAGAAAGTGGTATAGCGATGAGATATGAGTATTCCTACTCTCGTCCCTTTGCTCAGAGAAATTGCAGACAGAGCTCCACTAGAGCTTCCATTCTAGTAAATATATGCTTCCTGGATACGTTTAATTTGTTAGAGATCTTAAATGACCCCAAAAAACAAATCTATATATCCCCAGATATTTTATTCAGTAAGTTTTGGCTAAAGTTGTAGCATTTTATAATATGGTAGGTCCAGACCCATAAGAGTATTTCTCATGATAGTGTTAGAGCTTGCTAGAACTGCTATTTTTTATTATATATCTGCTATATTATTTGTGTTTCCTAGTGTGCTTTTTAAAAATCTCACAGAAATACTATGAAAACTTATTTCTTTTCTGTTATGTTAGCCTTACTCCCCTGCCACCACCACCCCCCCCCCACATTTATCTGACTGGAAGGTGACAGCACTTTAAAGTTAAAAGCTTATTAAAACACACCTCTAACAAACAGCACTGTGACAATCACGGTAGCTGTGTCTTCTCTGTCCTTCCTGCTGATAAAGCTTAAAGGAAATTCCTCATAGCTAAATAATGGCTATTTTATACAGAGAACTAGCTATAAAGTCAGAGAAAAAGGCAGTGGCATTTAAAATCACATTAAGCAAGCTGTCCCATGGAATACAGGTGTTGCATTACACGTGAATGTGAAGGAGAAAAGAAAACGAAATCTAGCCTGGTTTCTGAGAAAACCACAGCAGTGGTATTTGGCACTGTGTCTCCTGATCAACATCTGGTTTGTCTTCAGGGCTCTGATATATGTGGCTTACAAATAATGGTGTTATGCTAATATGATGATTCAAAATACTGAAGGAAGTACCTGAAAATACTCCAATTCTTTTAAAGTTTTGTTTTTTACTCTCCATTTCAGATACGGTTTTGGAGAGGCAGGGAAGCCTAAATTTGGCATTGAACCTAATGCTGAGCTTATATATGAAGTTACACTAAAGAGCTTCGAAAAGGTGAGAAAATACCAACTTCTCTAAAATCATGGTAGATTTCTTCTCCATCCTCTTCCTGTGAATCAGCATCTTATATCAGTAGATGGTGTAGGTAGACAGGGTTTATGTGTGTGTTGTGCTTTTAATTACCAAGTTTGTCTCTTGTCTCCAGCACTGCTACTGAAGTATGGGACAACTGACATAGCACAGCTGATGTACAACCGAGGAGCTCAGTGTTCTTATTTTGTTCCTATGTGTCAGCTTTTTTTTCTTTTTTTTAACTTTTTTGGGTAGAATCCAAGACTTGTTCCTTTATTTGTTCCTAGACTTGTTCTTTCTGTACTTTTTTTTCCTGGGTTGAGGACAAAAAGGTTCACATTCTGCCAAGCAGCTCCTTGGGGGAGTGGGGTGCAGCTTTCCAGCGCTGAACGTGCTGTACCCTGCCCGGGAGCCACGGAGAAGCCCACATGGTGGCTCCAAGTTATTTTCCCAATTGTAAGGCCGTGGGGACCACCAGGCCCTGTGACCCAGTGATACAAGAAAGAAACCTGCCAACCCTAGGCCTTTTCATACCTGTCCAAGTGGAGAAGAGAGAAAATGTGTCAGTCACCTTGGATTCCAGCAGTGGTACACCTCCCCGAACGTGTCTGCATGGCGGGCTCGCCTCTGGAGGCTCCAGCAGCGGTGGCACTGGACAGACATGCAGCGTGTGCCGAGCGAGGCATGCCGTTGTCTTCAGCTGCGCCCTGCGTTCCCAAACACGCCCTTCCTGGAGCTGCTCGAGGACTGCATCTTGTATTCCTTTTTTATTCCCACACGGTGCCCCTACACTTCTCCGTGTTCTGTGCAGCACGCTTTTGACTAGAAACACGACTGTATATATTTTGTTACACTTAGAAAGGACATCTCTGTCCTGTGGTACTGTGCCTTTGGGCCGGGAAAGGAAGGGAAGGACTGCTTTGGAATCTTCCCCAGGAGTAATTTCCTAGTCATACTCCTCCCACTTCATGTTCCCCAAAGCAAACAAATGCTCTGGTTGTGACCCTCACTGGTCATCAGGTAACCTTTTCAGAAGGCCTGCTAGCATTTTGTGTTTTTATTGTTAAAGAAAATAATCTTTAGCATATGGTTGTTTAGATCTTTGACCTTCCTCCTTTTTTTGGTTGGAGATAGGGTCTCATTCTGTTGCCCAGGCTGGAATGCAGTGGTATGAGCATAGCTCACTGCAGCCTTGAACTCCTGGGCTCATGTGATCCTCCTGCCTCAGCCTCTCAAGTCTCTGGGACTACAGGAACATACCACTATGCCTGGTTAATTTTTTATTTTTTGTACAGACAAGGTCTCACCATACTGCCCAGGCTGGTCTCAAATTCCTGGCCTCGGCCTCCCAAAGAGCTAGGATTACAAGCGTAAGACACCACGCCCAGCTGTATTTCCATTTTTAGAAAGTACCCCCTTTCCCCTCCCCACCCCTGGCCCAATGGACACTGCTTATTTAGGAACATTCTCACTGTGGTATGCCACAACATGCCTGTGCTCTGTTATCGCTCCAAGAGTAGATTCATGCAATGCTGCTTGGTATATTTGAAACTACGAGGTGTGTGATGTTGTTGGAGGCAACGTGATTAAATTCTCTGCCCTGTAGTATTAAGAATATATTTATATTATTGTATATATTTATACTATTATATATATTTATACTATTAAGAATATATTTATACTCCATAAAGACTGAAGGTATATAAAAATTACAAAGGGCCCTTGTGAACTAGGTCAGGGGGAGAGGGTTGGTGCCAAAACCTGGGATCAAACCGTAACTAGGTTTTTAAATACTTGAGCTACATTGTTGCTAAATAATTGTTGCTACATTAGAAAGCAACATGGGTTGCCAGAAAAACCCTCTCATTATTCACTTAAAAATAAGCAGGGGCTGGGGAGGGCTATTACACCAAGAACACACACTAATTGTCTCTTGAATAAAGACAATTTTACAGTTACCCACTTAAACTTAATTCATATGCAGTAAATAGCACTGACCACACCCATTGTCACTTTCCCTAAAGGACCCCAGGTTCTCTTGATTCTTTATGATCCTTCTAAATCCAGCTGTTCATACAGCAGTGCAGTTATTTCTAGATTTGTATCTATAATGGTGAAGACTAATAGTACACGTACTATTATACAAACTAGCAGATGATAATGCAGTCATTTATTTGTGGCTTTGAAGTGATTATTGCATGAGCTTTACCCTCCCAATTATGTTTTACTTGAAATTCCCCAGTATATGTCTGCGGGTCGATACAATTTAGAGGCTTTAGTATATCTGGCTATTTTAGAGTAGCAAGAGAACCACTTGACCTGAAATTTGAAAATTCTGTATGAATATATAGCTGTGACTTAACTACAGTAATGTTCCCATTTGAGAGCTGAAAACTGGGGCTAGAGAAAAACAACTTAGTGGAGAGATTTGTAAGAGGGAAATAAGGGGCCCTGGCTTTGCTTGGCTTTACCTTATAATTCTGAAGATGCACTTTTTAACAGTGCTCAACAGTTCATGTCCCTTCCTGTGTTTTTTGCCCTCCTCCTCCCTCTTGAGCAACATGGGTCAAGCTGCAGCTTGGTCATCATGGAAAGTGAGTTCTTAAAACAGCGTAAAGAGCATTAGCCTAGCAGTAAATTGGCAATGGCAAACGATTGCAACAGCCAGAGTGTTTTTAGTTTTGACTATACTCTAGAAGTAGCTGTTGCTTTGTTCTAATGGGCGTCAACTGATGCTTTTCCTTCTCTGTTCATCTAACTATTGTCACAAATTTACACACAGGCCAAAGAATCCTGGGAGATGGATACCAAAGAAAAATTGGAGCAGGCTGCCATTGTCAAAGAGAAGGGAACCTTATACTTCAAGGTGTGTGAGTCCCTGTACAGTCCTTTCCACCTCAGAGAATTTACTCAAGTGTCATTGAATTGTGCTGATAGTCCCTACTCTGAATTCTATCAACACCCTTCTGGGTAAGAATAAGCCAGAATTTTTACAAGTCTGCCATTTTCAGTGTAAGAAATGGTGAGAAAAGAATGAATTAATGTGATAAAAAAAGAATACAAAAACCTTTGTTACACATTCTACTCTAGAAAGGCAGACCAGTCTGGCTTGCCCACCGTCACAGTTTTGCTCAAGGTCTAAAATGTCTTGCTTGGTACATGGTTGGCACTCAATAACTGTTTGTGAATGAATAGAATAATTCTTAGCAAGTAATGGAATTCATAGGGATAAGTTTAACATCATTTTCCTTTCCACTGTTTTGGTGAAGTCACTAGGGCACATGACAAAAAGAAAGCGAACATGCACAGATTTCAAAAGAAACTGACAGGTGGAGAGTATTCATTGCTTCTAATGGTCAAGATGATTCCTGCACACTTGTTTTTGTGAGGAATCTACGGAAATCCCTAATTGATATTCATCATACATTTCTACTCAAAAACCTTTCTTGTAGCATCTAGGAGTGTGACTTCTTCTCACTTAGATCTTAAACCCCCAGATGTAAAAAAAAAAGAAACAGCACTTTATTCAGTTGTAGCCAGAACAACCACTGCTTCCTCACCCCCAAATAGATGCCTTCTCCATGTCAAGAGGAAAGGGCTTGGTGATGAGAATTAGGGGAAGAATGGGGGTTCTGTCAAGATTCTTTTCTTTTTTCTTTTCTTCCTTTTTCTTTTCTGCCACTGCAATACATGAACAGAAATAAGGTGATGTTATTCAACAGTATAACGCAATGAGGCGTAAATGTACGTTAGCAAGTCTTTATGGAGCATCTACTGTGTAACATGCTATTGAGTTTACAGCCTCATCAAGAGGTTGTAAATGGAGCATTGTCACCCAAGTGAAACACCTAGAATGATGTGAGAGTATATAGTCAACACACAATCAACGCAGCCAGAAGGCAACAGGTATGGTCTTTGTTGTTCGAACTTTGAGCTGGAGACTTTCTATTGGGTCATTCAGTCAGTTCTCAGTGGAAGTGTATTGCAATGTGTTATAAGGATAAGTTTTGTTGTGTAAAACTTTTCTTTAGTTGTGTTCAAGTAGATACTGGATTACAAATTAGAATATATTTCTTACTGTGGGTAGTAATCAAACAAATGTAAAATCAAAGGTTTAGATAATACATAATTATTTATATACTTATATTTATTTCTTTTTCCTTAATATTATATATTATTAAAATATTGTATGGATCACCAGAAAGCACTGGGGTGTGGTGGAATGAACTCTGAATTGGAAATTGGAAAAACTGGGCTTTATGGCTCTTCAAATGACTGAAAGTCATTTAAAGTCCAAAAACATTATATTTTCATGTGAAAAGTGAGGGAGTTAGACTAGATGATCCCCAAGTTTCTTTCCAGCCCTAAATTTCTGTGCATTTCTAAACTTTCAAGATCAAGCTTGACTTTTTAAAAAATTCTGATTGAAGCATATTGGATACATCTTAACCTTTTAAGAAAGACTCCAAATGGGTTACTTATTTGTATACCCAAATACACAATATCCTGAAATAAAAAAGAAAATTTTCTATAAAATCTCTTACGACCATGGGTCCTAAACAGTGTTTCTTATGTTCCTAAAGTCCATAAAAGTCTTTAACTGTATTTTATACATTTCCCAACATTTCTTAATAGAATATTCATAGTTTGGGAGAGTTTGAGGCTTTTGGCATTTGACTAGAATTATAGTAACTCAGTGTAGTAAAACTAAAACAGTTTAGCTATTCAGAAGCTCTGGTTGCTGATGACACAGAACTTCAGAGAACTTAGTTGGTAATGAAATGCTGTTCTGAAACCATGTGTCACTTAGCTGTGTCCTGAATACATACAGAGAGACGGTGAGGAAGACTGAGCAGTAGCAGAAAGCAGAGCTCAAGTGTTTGTATGGTTACTTAACTGTGTTGCTTATTAGCATTACAACTGCAACAGTGATTTGTGTATTTCATAATATTATGAACCTTCTTAAAATTACTGATCTTTGGATAAAATCTGGATCAGCAGTCACACATATGGAACAAATTATTTTTAACATGCAATTTGATAGACAAAATCTTTCAAAACATTAGTCCATTGGGGAAAAATTAATGAAAGGTTCAAAACCACTGACCTAAGACTTTTCTCCCAGAATGTCTCTGAACATTTTGTACCACTAAAAACATCCCTGGAGGCACCTTTATAATTATAGGTAAAAGATCCCAGCAGTGATCCTAGCTTTAGCTGTAAGACTTTAAAATGGTTGGAAGATAGTCTCTGTACACATTCCCTTCCCTTTTAAACTTCCAGGGCAGGTTTTGATCTGCCATGCTGCCCTCCCAGGCCTGTCCTTCCAGGGTATTTGACTTGGCACATCTTGTGCGTGCACAGAGTCCAGATGTGTGGGTGAGAGCAGAGATGGGCTGAACTAAAAATCTATATTTCTTGCCATCTGCATATTAGAGCTCTGTTTCCATTGACCTGTTGGTTTGGTTTATACCAAAGTGGTAAAGTCCCTCCCCTTAGTAGAGTTCAGTTGCACTCAGCTTTAAAATGGGAATGATCTTGCCATTTAAATTGTAAAAGCCTCATTTCAACCACTGAACACTAAGGAGAAGAAAAAATAAGAGGGGACTCTTCATTTGGCTCTGAAAATAATTATTAAGCACAAGTAACAACATGATATTATTCCAGTCATTGTGCAAGCCAGTTAAACAGACATGGTTTTTGCCCTCATAGATGACAGTATTCTGTAGGACAAGAACATTAATTTCACACCTGGTTAGTGTTTCTCTTTTCTCTGACTTGGCAGCAAAGTGGCAAGAAAGCGGAGGACACTACAATAACGTGGGTTTCTTGCGCCCCCTTGTGCTTTTCTTGGAGGAAAGCATTTCTAAAGCAAGCTTTTTACTGAGAATCATTCAACTCGCTGAACCCTTTTCAGACAAACCAAGCTTTGCCATGTTGTGACCACCCTCGCTGAACCAAGATATCAGAAATATGATTTAGCCATCTGTAACTCAAGAAATTGGGCTTAAAAAAAGACTCCTAAGAAGAGTCTACTGTTTTTCTCCTGCCTTCATTCTTTTAGTGCAGGATTTTCAACCTTAGCATGAATGACATTTGGGGCTGGATTTTGTTTGTTGTGTGGGCTGTCCTATGCGTTGTGGGATGTTGAGCAGCATCCCTGGACCCTGCCAGGAGCACCCTTCCCCCCAGTTGCGCCAACTAAAAACATTGCCAAACGTCCCCCAGGGGGCAGAATCACCCCCAGTTGAGAACTGTTTCAGCAGCTTAGAAGCAGAATACCGCAGCTCATTGTAAGCTGAAGTCCGAATAAAGTTACATATGATATATATGATAGAGCTTTCAAAAATTAAAATGCTTTATAAATGTAAAAGGAATTCTGAAATCTATTATTTGTATTTTTAGAAACCATATCCTTCTACCATTCTGATTATTCAGAACCTACTAAAGTGATAAGATCTAGGTATGTGTCCTACTTGTCCTTCTTTTCTTTCCCTATAATGATATATTAGGAGATGATCAGAAAAGGTAATGGGTACATTAAAGATGAAGGAGAAGAGAGAAAATGAAGGAACTAGGCATGACGGGGAAATGCCTGTCTTTCCCACCCAATGGAAGTGAAATGACATCTTTCATTTCCACGCACACTTCCACTTTTGCTCCAAATGATAGAAAAAGTTTTGATGCCATAATTATATTCTTTTGACTTTAATATTTACTCAGCAAACCTTTATTAAGAGCCTCTTTGTGTTAAATCCTGGATATTCCAAAAGGGATAGGATATGCTGCCTGTCCTCAAAGAGCTCACGAACCAGCAAGAGAAAAGACAGTGACAGAAAATGCTGACCCCTGAAACTGGTGAGGACTTTCTTATTTTTTTGTAGTGCCCAAAAAAGGATGGTAGGCCTGAGACTGACAGAAAGTAAGTTATTGTCTTAGTCAGCTCAGGCTGCCATAGCAAAATACCTTAGACTGGGTGGCTTAAACAACAGGAATTTATTTCTAACAGAATTTATCTTTGGAGACCAAAGTCTAAGATCAAGGTGTCAGCAGGATCAGTGTCTTGTGAGGGCCTCTGTTTGGGTTGCTTGTAGCCCCTTCTTGCTACGTCCTCACAGGGCCTTTCCTGAGGTACACGCAGGTGGAGGGGGAGCAAGCTCTCTGGTGTCTCTTCTCGTAAGGGCTCTAATCCCATTCTCATCATGAGGCCCCCATGACCTCATCTGAACCTCATTGCCTCAAGAAAGGCCCCATCTTTAAATATCATCACATTGGGGTTAGGACTTCAACATATGTATTTGGTGTGGGGAGCACACTTCAGTCCATAGTAAGTATAATTTCCTCAAGAATTTCAGCACTGAGCTGGGCGTGGTGGCGCACACCTGCAGTTCCAGCTAGTTAGAAGGCTGAGGCAGGAGGATCGCTTGAGCCCAGGAGTTGGAGGCTGCAGTGAAGTACAATCATGCTACTACACTCCAGCCTGCGTGACAGAGTGAGACCTTATCCGGAAAAAAAAAAAAAAAAGGCCAGGTGCAGTGGCTCACACCTGTAATCCTAGCACTCTGGGAGGCTGAGGCGGGTGGATTGTTTGAGCTCAGGAGTTCGAGACCAGCCTGAGCAAGAGCAAGACCCCCGTCTCTATTAAAAATAAAAAGAAAATTAGCTGGACAACTAAAAAATATATGGAAAAAATTAGCCAGGCATGGTGGCGCATGCCTGTAGTCCCAGCTACTCGGGAGGCTGAGGCAGGAGGATTGCTTGAGCCCAGGAGCTTGAGGCTGCTGTGAGCTAGGCTGACGGACGTCACGGCACTCTAGCTCGGGCGACATGTATAATGAAGGGGCCTGCTTTCATATTCTTATAAATAACCCATGTCACAAATTCCTGAGGCAGAGCGTAACAGATTTTTATTTTAATGCCCTTCTCCTTCCTAACACCCCAGAATCCTTTTGCATTGCCTTCCTGCAGCAGAACTGATGGACTCTGTGAGTCGCCCTTTCCTAAACAAGTGCCTGGTGGAGAAGGCTGTTCGGAGGAGGCAGCGTAGCCCTCCCCAGTCCCAGTCCTCTCTCCGCCCGGCCCTCCAATGGGAACAGGCCTACTGCATCTTCATCACCAGAAAATCCACGTCACGGCCTCCTTTCTGCAGGCAGACTTCGTTTCTTATGCCACCTCCTTGACAGTCTATAGAATGGGACATTCTCTTAGATCTGCTCCTTGATTTTTCTCTTCTTAAAGTCACCGGGTGCGTGTTGGAGTGTGTGTGGGGAGAGACAGCTCTACAGTGAGTCTAGTCCCTGCTGTGACTCTGGCAAATACTGGTGACACGGTCTGAACACTGCTTGTTGATTAGACATTGAATTGAATGTCCTTATGGGTCTGGCTGCTCTTCTGCCATGTGGTAGGACGCGCCGTCTGTGTCTGAGCTCATCGCCTGCTGCAGAGGGAGCCCTCGCGGCACTCCCATTTTATTTGTGTATTTACCAGCTGGCACTCAGCTCTTCCATTCACCTAAAATGGCAGTAAACACACTGCTTTGACTCCAGAGTTTCTTGTATAGAGCATGCATGTACACACGCTCATACGTCATTCATGTGATCGTCACAATTGTCAGAGCCCTACTAATCAGATAGGAGCAAAAATATGACTAGGAAAAAGGTTGTTCTCACATAGTTAACTGACACCTGTGTGATTTATGTTGTTTTATAGTTACTATTTATGTTGGATTTTGCCATTCAACTATTCATATTCCCATTGCTATAGATCAGGTGTCAGCAAACCACACACAGCATGTGAGCCAAATGTGGCCCACTGCCTGTTTTGTAAGTAAAGTTTTACTGAGACACAGCCACACCCATTTACTTACATATTGTCTAGAGCTGCTTTTGTACCACAAATGACAGAGTTTATTCGTTGCCATAGAGATTGGTTTAGATAAGATTTGCTGTGTTTGGGACTGGCACTTGCTAGAATACAGTCTTCACTGTGCAATGCTGAACATCAGAAGAAAAGAGAAAAGCGACTTCCCGCTTGCTTACACTAGTGGCATGGTCTAACACTGCTCACAGTCCTTTTGAAAGACTGATGAGTATTAGCACCAAAGAATGTGGCCCAGAAGCCTTGATGCACACGTGCCAGCAGGACAGGACGGAGGTGCTTGGAGACCAGCACGGGACAGTGCTGGTGCCCAGTCCCCAGCCAGTCGCAGCCTCCGCGCTGCCAGAGGCGTGGGGCGAGGTGCCTGGAGAGCGGCCCCCGAGAACAAAAAGAGACCATCCTTGCCGGTTCCTGGGAGGGGTTGTTTCGGTGAAGGGTCTGGTTGTCTTTTGTGCCCCTCCAGAGCCAAGTACAAGCAATTACTCACTTTTTTCTTCTAGGGAGGCAAGTACATGCAGGCAGTGATTCAGTACGGGAAGATAGTGTCCTGGCTAGAGATGGAGTATGGTTTGTCAGAAAAGGAGTCCAAGGCTTCAGAATCGTTCCTGCTCGCTGCCTTTCTCAACCTGGCCATGTGCTACCTGAAGCTCAGAGAATACACCAAAGCCGTGGAATGCTGCGATAAGGTAAGCTGTCTCCTGCCAGGGGGAATGTCAACATTCCAGGTCTTTTCTCCTCCCACATTTACTCTTCTTTTTTCTTCCTGTCAGCCACAGGTTGGAGGGTTTTCATTTGGCTTTGCATTGTTTACTTGTATGTTTGGGATTATTTGTTTCTCAGTGTGAATTGGGAAATTCAGAAAATTCTAATTAGTCAAATTTGTCTGATACCTAGACTCTTTATCATATATACTGTTCCCATATTTTTATATAACACCTGATGCTTTTATTTCAGATATCTGTCTTAGAGTGAACAGTATATTTTACACGATGGGTAAAACCTTATCATTGATACATCTTAAACATAGACATAAAGGCATAAAAAAAATAAACGGCAACTATTTTGCATATTCTTTGTAAGGTTTTTTTTTAGTTTTGTGGGTTAGTGTTTCCTATCACAACCCACTAAATTTTTGCCTGAGAAAGGGATGTTATGGTTAATTACGTTTTTAAACTTTCTGCTTTTTTATTGTAGAAGTAGTATAGTTAATTCAAAATTCAAACATTGTGGAAATATACAAGAAAGTGAAAGTATATTCATAAAATTCTCATTGACCCTCCCTCCCAGAACCAGTCAGTTTCATTTTATACATATTTCTTCATCTTTTTTAAGAGATGGGTCTTGTACTGTCACCCATGCTGGAGTGCAGTAGTGGCATCATAGCTCACTGCAAGTTCAAACTCCTGGGCTCAAGCGATCCTCCTGCCTCAGCCTCCTGGGTAGCTGGGACTACAGGCATGTGCCACCACACCTGGCTCATATTTCTTCCTTTTTTCCATACATAGAGTAACATGCAATTACATATTTTTAAATGAGAATATATAGATTTAGACACATAGTTTTGTAAAACAAGGATATCTTTTCCATCTTATCAGTCTATCATATAGCTTTCCCTCATTGTTTTTATTTTATTTATTTGTTTAGATCATCTTTCTAGTCATGAGTTTTTTATTTTCTTTTGTTTTTTTGAGACAGGGTCCTGCTCTATTGCCTGAGCTAGAGTGCAGTGGCATCATCCTAGCTCAGTGGGCTCAAACTCCTGGACTCAAGCGATCCTCTTGCCTCAGCCTCCTGAGTAGCTGGGACTACAGGCATGCATAAGCACACCTGGCCTCCCAAAGTGCTAGGATTACAAGCCTAAGCCACCATGGCCAGCCATGTTCTATCTTTTCAGAGAGCAGGATCATATCCTATTTATTTTTATAACACTACTTAAAGCCTAACAGAACTTACTAAATATCTGGAATACAGCAGTGCTTATTAATGAAACTATGATAGTATTTAATATTTATCAAAGGTACATACCAGGCGCTGACCTAAGTGCTCTACATGTATTGTTTCATTTAATCCTCACAACAACCTTAAAGTAGGTATTAATCTTGTCCCTCCCCCATATTATAGATGAGAAAACTGAGGCTTAGAGAAACTAAATATCTTGTCCAGTATCACAAAGCGGTGGTGATAAGATTCACTTAAGTCTTACTTAAGAGTTTACTACACCATACTCTTAATCCCCAGCCTACCACAAAACACTGGAAGGAAGAATAAGTCCTAACAATTCCATTGACTTGCGCCTAGCAGCAGCACTGGAACAGTACTCAGAATGAGAGGTGCACCTGCTGCCTTAAGACACTTAGGCCACATGCAGCTTATTTTTTTAAGCTGGTAACATGGGGTCTTGCAATGTTGCTCAGGCAAGTTACAAACTTCTGGCCTCAAACGATCCTCCCACTTGGCTTCCCAAAATGCTTTTACAGAATTTACAGGCGTGAGACACCACACCCAGCCTCCTTGGGATCTTTCTAGAAATTACATTAAATACAGAAATTAATTTGAGTAGTATATTTTGATCAGTAGCATATAATTATCTTGAGCCCCACTTTTTTAATATACCTTTACCATCTCCCTTGGCAAAAGAGCCTTGGTAAACTATTTACTGAATTTCTTATTAAAACTCATCCCTTCTAAACTATAGACCATCTGTTCCTAGGCGCTGGGACTGGACAGTGCCAACGAGAAAGGCTTGTACAGGAGGGGTGAAGCCCAGCTGCTCATGAATGAGTTTGAGTCAGCCAAGGGTGACTTCGAGAAAGTGTTGGAAGTAAATCCCCAGAATAAGGCTGCAAGACTGCAGATCTCCATGTGCCAGAAAAAGGCCAAAGAGCACAACGAGCGGGACCGCAAGATATACGCCAACATGTTCAAGAAGTTTGCAGAGCAGGACGCAAAGGTGTGTGCAGAACCCACTGCCTTCCGCTAGATCGAGAACTGACCTCGCCCCTTTGGTTTTTGTTCTAAGGAGGATTAGGCATGAGGAACAGGGACAGTTTGACAGCCCGAGATAGAAGAATAGGGAATGTGATTTTCAGTCTGGCCGGAGGCTGGTTTGGATCCAAAGGTTGAGTAGGGCAGGTCACTGGCCAAAGGTACAAGGTGTGAGGCCCTGGCAAGTCCATGTGAGAGATGAGAAAAGTAAATTCCTTGAGACATACGGAAGCTTTTGTTATTTTTAAAAAATTAGAAATCCATCAGGGGTTTTTTCCAGTAATACTTCCTTGTTGAAACTTATGATTTCCCCAGGAAACAGGGTATTATAAGGGCCCCACTATGGTGCCCTTCTGGGGCGGGAGCTGGCCTAGGGACGGTGACAGTCTATCCTCAGAGAGAGTTGGCCTCCACAGCTTCATTCTGCTCGGCTCTGGCATACCCCACTCCCCACGCCCCATAGCATATGGACTTAATTATTCAACAGCTGTCTCGTGGAGCAAGCTAGTAATTTTAACCAAAGCAAAGTTCAGCTTCACACTCTGTTGATAGCAGGGCCCTGACCTACCCAACTGGGCAGCCAAAATAGAATCATTGTAATATCCTCTTGTCCTAGACCTGACAGACAGTCTGGAGGAGCCAGGAATTGTTTCAGTTCTTTCTTCCCTAAGCCTCTTGATTTCCTATTTCTTTCTTAGGAAGAGGCCAGTAGAGCCATGGGCAAGAAGACTTTAGAAGGGGTCACCAATGAAAAAGAAACAGAGAATCAAGCAATGGAAGAAGAGAAACCTGAAGGCCATGTATGACGCCACGCCATGGAGGGAAGAGAGTCCTAATGAACTCGGCCCCTCCTCGATGGGCTTTCACCCAACTCAGGACTAAACAGTGTTTAATGTAAAGTTTGTTATAGTCTATGTGATTCTGGAAGCAAATGGCAAAACCAGTAGCTTCCCCAAAACAGCCACCCTGCTGCTGCCCAATAGGTTCATTGAGGGGTGGCGTGGGACCACTCCAAGTGGAACAACACAGAAGTGACTGTTGGTGTGCAGAGATTGAGCCAACAGCTTAGGTCCAGCTCATTTCAGTTTATGTCAACTTTAAACATCCAATTCAGGGTCCCTTGAGATAATCCTAACAATTGGGGCTTCTGTTAGGTTTTACATTTTAACTTTAATAGCACTACAGAAATCTTTTTTAAAATGCTTAATGAATTTCTCCTTTCCTACAGGCGGGTGGGGTGGGCAAGGAGGATGAAGTTGTGTTTTTTTTAAATGACTGAAGTGCTGTGAATGCAACCTGTCGCATTTTTAACCAACAGAACCCACAGTAGAGGGGTCCACCCCCTCTCCACAGCAGTGTCACAGACTTGAAAGCCAGAACCTCAGAGGCCACTTGCTTGCTGACTTTGCCACCTCCCAGACTCCCTCCTTAGCAGCCTGCTCGGGAGAGTGGGATCCCCACGCCCAGCCTGTCCCTGGGGGGCAATCCATCATTCCTAAAATACCTGCAGCGATGATAGTGAACAGGCTGGAGTTTCTGGATTAGCCTGTCCTGTTTTGGATGAAGTTCTGAGATGCTGAAATGCAAAAAGAACAATCAGAATTATGCTTTTCCCCTCTATTCCTTCTAGAAAATAATGTTAAAATACATAGTACTTCCTGCTAGCATTGCTGCTGCTCAGCTTACTTCCATTCTAATCCTTGCTGTTAAGAATATAAGACTTGTTCTTATAATATTTTTGACCTGGAGTGGATTTACTTACATATCCATTTAGGACTGATGCAGCTTTTTTATCTTCTTTTTTAAATTACTGGCTCATAAGCATATATATACTGGTTTATGGAACTTTATTTACACTCCTCTATCATGCAAAAAGAAATTTTGACTTTTTACTACTAAGTAGCCTAATTTTTAAAAACAAAATCTGTAGGGTTGACAAATAAGTAGTTGCTCTTCTACATTAAGGGTTTTATCTGCAGGTTTGACATACAGTCGCTTTCTTTCCTGCCCTGATGCCTTCTCTGTTCTGGTGTGAGTTGAAAGAGTTGAAAACGGCTTCCCGCGCACGTACATCTGGCCTAAATCCCCAGTACTTGAGCATTGAACTAGGTCAAGTCTTAAAATAAATATGTGCATGTAGTTGAATCTTAGTCCTTACGGGTAAATGAGATTGAGCGTGGCGCTCTGTTCCGCAGCCTAGGGGACTCTGGGAATGCGTTTGGCAGGCCTAGCAACCAATCGCTTAAACCTGGAACATCTCACTTTTTTAAATCCTAAAGAACACTGGCATTATGTTTTAGATTAGTTTTAATTTGCATGGTAGTTTTAACAAACACTTTTGTTAGGTTAGGATCCACCTTAAAACCGAAAAAATCAAGTCATTTTCTTTCATACCAGTTTTCTTTTCCCTGGAACAAATGGAATCAAATTGTGAGTTTTTTCCTTTTGTGATCACCAAAACCTCTCTAATTTCTCATTTATACTTTTGTCTTTTTTCATGAACTATTTCTTTAAAATGCCCTAATCTCACCTAGGATATATGAAAAGCAAAAAAAGCTTATTTGCTAAACTGTTTGGTATTTGAAGCTCTGTTGACTAGAGCACTATTCCAATAAGTCCAAGATTGAAATTTGATCCTAAAAAGGCCAGTTAGATTTTTGCAGGTAACAAACAAAACTATTCCAAAACTCATATGATCCCAGCTGTCTCCAGTGGGTGTCACAGGTCACCGGGAACTGGCAGGAGTGTGTGGGAGCGGGGACGAGCGTGTGAGTGGCTCCAAGCAGATGAGATCCAGGTGTCTGTCATCATCCAGAAAGAGACTTCACATGTTCTTGTATCAAATTCAGTAATGTTAAACAATTCATGTTGAAATCAGATGTCTTTGACCCACCTTTTAGACTGCGTATGGGTTGGCGAGTCAGTATATGATGAATTAAAAACAAATTGTTTTTTTAAAAAATCATTTAGATGCAATTTTTTTGTGTTCCTTAAATAAATCCAAAAAAAAAAAAAAACGTGATTTCCCATTGTTTTTTGTTTTACTTAAGTAATTTTCAGGGAAAGATGTTTTGGTTAAAAACCTATAGTAGAGGCCAGCTTGAAGAAATGAGACATCAGAAAATTGGCAAGAGACAATATTGCGCTCTTTGCTCTAACATACAACTCAAAATTGACACTGGGGTAAAGGTAATAGAATGGTGCATCTTTGTTAAAATGAACCACATAATCCATAAAATAAAAGAGTTTTGTTGTTTCATAAACCAGTGGATATTTTACCTTTTTAATTTTAAGGTAGTTAAATAAAATTTAGGGCTGGGCGCGGTGGCTCACGCCTGTAATCCTAGCACTGTGGGAGGCCGAGGCGGGCGGATTGCTCGAGGTCAGGAGTTCGAGACCAGCCTGAGCAAGAGCGAGATCCCGTCTCTACTATAAATAGAAATTAATTGGCCAACTAATATATATAGAAAAACTAGCCGGGCATGGTGTGGCATGCCTGTAGTCCCAGCTACTTGGGAGGCTGAGGCAGGAGGATCGCTGAGCCCAGGAGTTTGCGGTTGCTGTGAGCGAGGCTGACGCCACGGCACTCACTCTAGCCTGGGCAACAAAGCGAGACTCTGTCTCAAAAAAAAAATAAGATAAAATTTAGGGCCAAGCGAGGTGGCTTATGCCTGTAATCCTAGCACTCTGGGAGGCCGAGGTGGGAGGATTGCTCAAGATCAGGAGTTCAAAACCAGCCTGAGCAAGAGCGAGACCCCATCTCTACTAAAAATAGAAAGCAATTAATTGGCTAACTAAAATATATATATAGAGAGAGAAAAAAAATTAGCCAGGCATGGTGGCACATGTTTGTAGTCCTAGCTACTCGGGAGGCTGAGGCAGAAGGATCGCTTGAGCCCAGGAGTTTGAGGTTGCTGTGAGCTAGGCTGACGCCACAGCACTCACTCTAGCCTGGACAACAAAGTGAGACCCTGTCTCAAAAAAAAAAAAAACCTTAGCCTGGCATGGTGGTACATGCCTGTAGTCCCAGCTACTCGGGAGGCTGAGGCAGGAGGATCGCTTGAGCCCAGGAGTTTGAGGTTGCTGTGAGCTAGGCTGACGCCATGGCACTCACTCTTAGCCTGGACAACAATGTGAGACCTTGTCTCAAAAAAGAAAAAAAAAAAATTAGCCGGGCATGGTGGTACATGCCTGTAGTCCCAGCTACTCGGGAGGCTGAGGCAGGAGGATGCTTGAGCCAGGAGTTTGAGCGTAGGCTGACGCCATGGCACTCACTCTAGCCAGGGCAACAGAGTGAGACTCAGTCTCAAAAATAAAACAAAATTTAATTGTGTCCTTTAATATGTCGAACATAACTATGTCAAACATAACTAAGCATACCCCACGCAATGTTCTGTATTGAGCATCCTTTTCCTTTCTTAAGCACAATATTTCATTGGATACTCATCATCACAGACTCCAAAGGCCTAAGGAGATGATGTCTCGCATACTGCGAATGCTGATTTTCACGCTGCAGATGCAGGGGCGCGGCGTTGGGACGACGATGCCCTTCCTCCAGCAGGACCTCTGAGGTCTACAGACAGGCTGGCACAGGCCCCAGCGCCCTTTATTCCCTCTGAATGCTTTGCCTCATCTCTGGATTTGAATTATATCCTCCATCTCTGCTGGGAAATTATTTGGTAATGAAATAATTCCCTTTATTTGCATGCTTTTTTCCTAAGCAAATAGCAATCACTCTAGGGATCTTGAGGATGAGCCGGAGACAGATTCCCAGCCGTGAACTTGGGATCTCGGTAATGCAGAGGCAGCCGCACCCCTCCAAAGCCTGAGGGGTGTCACTGAAGAGCTTCGCCCAGACTTACTTGGCCTTCTTGGCAGCACATTGAACTCCTCCCTCTTAGCGTGGTGCATTAGAACCCTGTATTCCCTGGGACTGGCACTGTGGGAGACTGTCACCAGCATTAGTGGCAAAATCTGTTGGATTTGAGCTGGTTAGTCAAAATCCTGAAACTCAGCACTTCTCAGCTGTATATTTTTTCCGTCAACCGACTACTTATGTGTTTGAATAGCAATGCCTGACAAAAGTACCCAAAAGGACCTTCTCTGATGGCTTGAAAGGTTTTGGGAGACCCCCCAGTGCCTCCCTTCAGAGTTTTCTCTCCTCCCCGTCTGGTGTGGAGGTTTCTGTGGGAGGTCGGGGAAGGGCACAGAGCACAGTCCGTGGTGCTGGGACTCATTCATCTTCTAGGGGTGAGGGAGCCTTGGAGAACTAAGAATGGGGAGGACCCAGAACGGTGCTCCCACATGCTGGGCACTTAACCCTCCTTCCACTGACCTGAATACGGAAAGGCCAAAGGCCGGGCATGGTGGTGCACACCAATAGTTCTAGCTGCTCAGGAGGATTCCTTGAGGCCAGAAGTTCAAGGCTGTACTGCACTGTGATCACGTCTGTGAAGAGCCACTGTCTTCCACAAAGTTGTGTGGACACAAAGTCACGTGGCCTTTGCTAACAGAACTATGCAGGGAAGGAATTCTGGAGCATGTATTTCTAACGTGGCTTTGTAGACACATTACAAATACACCAAGTGTCCAGTCCTTTCTTGAGGTATTAAATATTTCCAGCCTGGCTCTCGACCCTAAGTGCCATCTTTCTAGAAACCTCCACGCCATGAGAGCCAAGTGGAAGAAGAAGCGAGTGTGCAGACTAAAGTGCAAAAGGAGAAAGGTGAAGCAGAGGTCCGAGTGAACCGCTCGCTTGTGCACATGTGAAGGTCACGAGAGCAGAAACATGGAAGGCCGGAGTCTGGGGACGCTGGTGCAAGTTGCTGGACTGCACGCCACTGTCTAGAACCTGCCTCTCAGTGGATGTAGAACTTCGTCACACCGTCCCGTCGCCAGGGCCACCTCTGAGAGACCCATCCTGCTCTTACCAAAACAGTCCCCATTAGTCCTTTGCCCTGGACCTGACATTCTGAACTAGTCCTCTCAGTTGTGGCCGAGTGTAGCAAGTATACAATAAATCACCTTCTGTTTCAGCTGAAGAATCACATAAATAATAAATAATTAGATAATAATTCCAGCCTGGGTCTGCTTTGGGACAATGTGCTTTCATTATCTTAGTATAGGCCTGTGACTTGGCTTAAAGTTATCTCCTTAAAGTTTCTGACCAAGGAAAGAAAGCGGGAAGAACAAGAAGGTAATGATTAGTGTGAATATTTGGCGACGTGCTGATGAGTTGCGGTTACTATAATCCTACTAAATGATTTGATGACTTTGCATTAGGTCTGCTCACAGCCAGGTGTCCACACTAAGGAATCCTGAGTTTTTTTGGTCTAAAAACTTAATCCCCTTCCTGTTCTGTATGTTTATGAAAAAAAAATAAAATAAAATAAAATAAAATAAAAACTTAATCCCCTTACATGTCATGAGTTGTTGTGGAAAAAATGAATAAAAACTTAAACTCATATATATACTATCACCCTCTATAGATACCAAAGTCTTGCTAAAGGTGACACCAGCAAATGTGGTGAGTAAAACATGACAATCCCCCCACTGAGGGATCCAGGAACTCATTTGTTGCCTTACTCATCACCACCCTTGACACCTCGTACACCAGCCCAATCTAGAACATTCTAGTTGCTCAATAAATTGGCTTATGACAGTAAGCCTCCTCTTAAGGCAGCCTCTCCTCTCTCAGCATCCCTTCAATCCTGTAACTTTTCTTGAGACATGGAGGCCAGGCCACATGATACTCTAGCTATCCCTGCAACCTGATTTTGTGTTCTGAATTTTCCAAATGATGAACGAGCAGCAACTTCACTTTTGGGAACCCATAACTATAAAATGAGTCCATGGTCTTCAGACTACATTGATCTTAAATCTAGATGTAGGCCAGGCACAGTGACTCGCCCCTGTAATTCCAGCACTTTGAGAGGCTGAGGTGAGAGAGCATGTAAAGTCAGGAGTTTAAGGCCAGCCTCGGCAACATAGTGAGACCCTGTCTCTACAAAAGAAAATTTAAAAATTAGCAGGGCATAGTGATCTGCTCCTTTAGTCCCAGGTACTCGGAGGCTGAGGCAGGAAGATTGCTTGAAGACAGAAATTTGGGGTCACAGTGAACTATGGTTGTGCCACTGCATTCCGGCCTAGGTGACAGAGCAAGGCTGTGTCTCAAAAAAAAAAATCTAGATCTAAATCTAAAACTCAGAGTTAATCAAATGTGGAGCATTTTCCTTAGAAGTGTTTCTAGGACCACCTCCTGGTCCTGGTGCCCCTAACATTCATGGCCTGTCGGGAACCAGGTGTCCACTGAGGCGAAGGGCAGGGCTCCGTGGGCCTGCGTGGCGAGGCGTGCAATGGCTGCGCCCCTGCAGAGCCTCTGCCACCTGCTGCTGCCCGCGACAGGACTTTGGGAATGGCAGGAAACCCAATTCTGCCTCTTCACCTTGCTGCCCACTCAGAGCCTTGCTGGAGGCTGAGTGGAGCTGGAGCCCACCCGCGCCGGCAGCCGGACCAGCTCTGCCGCCAGAGCCCTTCCCTCCTGCCGGCCACCATTCCCCCTCTGCGCTCCTCTCCTGGCTTCTGGGCTGCAAAAATGCCCTGATGTTTTGACTGTCCCCAGCCCCACCCTGAGCTACACTGGCCCTCTTGCCCTGGGCCCAGCCAGACGGTTTCTTCTGGTGGCAGGACTGCAGTCCCCTTGGAGCAGAGCCTCCCTCTTGTGAGGCGCTCTGGGCGGAAGTCGGGGAGCAAGCAGGGAGCTATGCCCTTAGGTCTATTTTTCAGTTACTGCCCCTGCACTGCAGCTGCGAAAAACCCAGTTTCTTTTACTTAGAAGGCAGCTGGACAGATACGCCATGCCCCGCTTTGTTTACTGCATGGCCGCTAGGAAGTATTGAGTTTCAAGGAAGCTGTGCTTTTGTCTGTCTTAATTAGAACTACTCCACTCTTAGAAAGGTGTGA